TGGACATCGGCCATGTTCAAGAAGCGTTGAAGACTCGTGACTCCTGGATGGAGGATGTCTCCAACACCCTCCACCAAATTCACCCCAAAGTCTTATACCCATTCACATTGCAAAGCATGTCCTGAGACCTCCAGGCTTTTACTTTTTCTGTATACGGCTCCTGGGGATGGCGCAAGCAAAGCACAGCATCACCCAGCAACCGCAAATATTTTCGATTCTCACCCGTCGGAGGTCCGACCTCTGTGCAGCGAAGGGGAAGACTCCCGGTGTCTAAGATGTCGTGCTGATGTTGCTGATGCTGACGACGATATCGATTGCGGAGCGATTGTGACGGTGATGACGACGTGATGATGGTGGAGGCGGTCACGACGTCGATGGTGAACATCTGCCGAGGATGCATGTTGTCCTGGTGAATCCGTCCCAGACCCATACCCCCAACCCTACACTCAAGCAAAGCGGCTGTGCCCCGGGCAAACCCATGGAGTCCCGCAGCAAAAAAAAACCTACACTCAAAGCCCCAATCCCGAAATCCTGACCTCCCCATCTGTCTTTCGACAGATTTTGTTGCTTTGCGCTCCAAAGTTTCGAGGATCCGGCCAGCAACAGGATGCTGCTTGGCTTTGTCTCACACTTTTCCTTCAAGGTTTCTGTCGGGGTTCTGCAATACAATTTGGATTTTGGGGGGTTTGGGGTGTAAGGGGGTAGTTGGTTAGGTTGAAAATCAACAGTAGCAGAACGTTTCAGGCTGTTAGCTTCTGTGCTTGATCGATGCTAAGCAGCCTTAGCTTCTCATGGCCGTTCAAGACAAGAGCAAACGGGGCTTCCTCCGAAGTCTTTCCCGGAGCCCAAACTTGCCACACCTGCAAGTCGTGAGCATGAGGATTATGTAAGGGATAGTTTTGGAGCTCCCAGGAAGGCTAGCCTAAGCTTACTAAATAGAAATCCCGAAACCCCGAAATCCTAACCCCAAACCCTTAGCCTTAATCCTCAAGCCTCAACCTTACAGTTTGCAGTCGCTTCAGAGGTCACGGAGTTCATCCGTTTCATCTTCGGGAGGTCTGCCTTGGCTTGCTTGCTTTTTTAGGGCGTTCGAAGGGCGTTTAGGGTCCATTTGTTCCGGGGCTTTGGGGTTTAGGGTTTCAGGGACTCTCGGAGGCTTCGGTTGCAGGGGTCTAAGGTTATGGAATTAGCCGTTGCTTTCACCCACGTCTGAAACCACAAACCCTAGAACCCCGAAGTTGCCCAAAATGCTTTTGTTTGAGCTCGAGGACTTTCATGGTGTGTGAGAGCAGTGACGTAGAATCCTTTCGTGGGTCGCACGCATGTCGGAGTTTCTTCTGGGTGCGTGGGGAAGGGCATTCTTTTGAAGCTCAGAAGTCTAAATCACAAGCCTTAAGATAACACCGCAAACCGAACGAACCCCGAAAGCCCCAGAGCCTCAAGCCACCGCCCCGAACCTTAAATCCTGCGCCCAACCCCCAAGGCCTAAATTCTCAATCCTTGATCCTAAACCCTCAACCATAAACCATAAACCCACGTCCTAAATCCTAAATGCTAATCCCTAAACCTCGGGATCGTTGAACCGAAGCTTCAGGGTTCGAGGGTTTCACGTGCCTCGAACCCGCCATCCCCTGACCCGCTGAAACCTGAACCCAAAACCCCAAACCTCAAAGTAGCCCTGAGGAAGATTTTGTGTTCGCCCCGATTGGGTTGGATCACTCCAGGGCCTAAACCCTGCAGCCGAAAAGCCAGCCTGGCTAGCGTCAGGGTTGTGGCCACATCAAGGCAACCCTGACACTTTCACAGAGCCTCGATTGTGGATTTGAGTCTACTATAGATGTTTGAAGATGTCGTAGTAGGTTATGCCTTTGGCTTCCTTTTTCAGCACGCCATGTGACAACCCCAACACCCTCTTCTGCATATCAGCTCCCTTAGAGTCTGGGATCGGGGTTTGGCGTTCAGTGTTTTTGTTAAATGCAGCGTTCCGAATGCTGAGTAGTTTGGGCTTAGGGTGTCGGGGGTTCAAGTTTTGATTTGTTGATTCCCCTCCCGATATTTACGCACACGTGGCCAGCTCTTGCTGTTCCCCACCTTTACAGTCCTGGATGCCTACGGGATGTGGTTAGGTTAGGTTGACAATAGACAGGAGCAGAATTTTTCAGGCTTTTGACTTCTGTGCTTATCGATGTTAAGCAGCTTTAGCTTCTCATGGCCGTTCAAGACAAGAGCACGGGGCTGCCGAGGTTTTTGCCGAAGCTCAATTCCTCAGGCATCTGTTTTCAGAGCGAAGAGTTATTGAACATAATGTTTTTGTTATCGTCGTGGGTGTTGATACTCTTCCTCTTATTGGCTATGGACTTGTATCACTTATGCAACGAACTATAGGACCACAACCCTAAACCCGAAAGCCCACCATCAGCCCTAACAATACTCTCTGAAGCCTAGAGTTCCTTCAGCTGCAAGCCAGGAAAGTTTCAGAAACGTAGGATGTTTACTTGGGCCTGAAGAGTAGGACCTCCTTCATTTGGGATGATCAATGGGGCAAGAAGGCCCTCTTGAGCTTGACTCTAGTCCGACGTTGTGAAGTGGTTTAGGAGGTGTAGCATAGGTGCGGTGATCTGGAAATACCCCTACTCTTGATGTCATTTGGCTTCTTCCGTGAGACTGAAGCTTGCATGATGTGGTCTCGGGTTCACGGTTTAGGGCTCTTGCTTGCAAGCCTGCAGCAAAAATCCGCGGGACTTCAGAAGGCTTTCTACAAGAAGGAGTTTTTAGAGGAGTCTGTGTTTTATAGTGGGTCTTATTCCCGACCCCCGGAACTCCAAAGGAGAAAGGAAAGGGTCCCGAATGCGTGGTAGTATTCTTTCCTGAGGGCTCCCTGATGTATCTGTATGCCCCAAGTCTTGAACCCTAGATTGCCCTAATTTTTGAACCAGGTTGGTCGCTGCCTTTTGATGAACCTGGCCCGGCACATGCCAGAGCGCGCGGTCAGAAAAATCGGTACTGGGCGTAGCACGGACTTGGCATGAAACGTGTTCCGCACATGTTGAACCCGAAGCCCTTCATGTTTTTCTTTACTGTTGCAGTCGGTCCAATGCTTCAGGCATGGCTTCATGCCCCATCTCCAAGCCACTTCGGGGCACCTGAGAATGCTTAAAAATCCACTGAACTGGCTTGAAGGACGGCCTAACAAGTATTCTCGTAGGGTTTGCTTTCAAGGGCATCGAAGTTTGAGAAACAGCCCTTCGACACCAGAAGTTGCTACAACACGCAGTTGCTGCTAGGTTTGATTTTTACCTCGGGCAACTGCATAGCATGCTGGCTATAACGACAAAGAAACCATGTTTTCTGCAGTCGCTTCGGCCCGAGGCTTTGACACAGCCGACAGTAAATCGGGCTGTGGATCCTAGATTGCAAGGGAGCTCGGCAGATGGTCATTTGAAGTCCGTTTCACGGCAGGTGAGCATAACCTGTGGACATTGCAAGCAGCACGTTCGCGGGCATCACCGGATTGTTACGACAACATAGACATGTGGATACTGGCAGGGGTCGGATGGGGTCGACACAAGTGCGGAGACAACGTGGGAACGCACATGCATAACTAAGTACGACGAATCCCTTATGCTGTTTGCCTTGCTGTGTCTGGGCTGATGGACGAGCCCATGGAAGGCCAGCTTTGCGAGGGTCCCCGGCTCAGTTGATGCTATCGTCGCAGCTCGCAGCCTTTTGCGGACCTTGCAAGCCACCAAAGTGCTTTTGTGTGATATTACTCTTCCATTTCCGACCATCGCGAAACTAAGCTGTAGCTTCCGAGGTGAAGCCATCAAGGCCATCTCGATGCCGTCACAGTGATGTGGTATTGCGAGGAGAGCGGAGATGCAAGCAGTGCAGTTGGGTTTCGGGAAATGGGAAAATGATGGCCGCAACAAGAGTGCAGCAAGCTCGGCAACAACCACACTGACACAACGACTCTGACACATGTTGGTCACAATAAGCAGGTCCGTACTTTGCATGATGGCAACGAAAGATGCGTGACATGTCTGGCCACACAGACGTGCTCATGCCAAGGTAGCAGGCGCTGCGGTACCCCAGTTCACAAGCCCAAAGCTCTTGAAGTCTTAAGCTCCAAACCGTGAAACCTAACCTTAGAAACTGATTAGGATTGCCGGCACCCACCTGTGCGCCTGCTCCAGTTGCAAAGAGTGCGGGCCTTGGCGGTCGGATCAGCCGAACGCGGCAGATTTAGCGTACTTATGCAATCTTGTGAATGTATTTTCATATGTTTCTGCACATATTATGTGTTTGTGCAAACATACACACCTGAAATCACATGAAGTTTTGCACACATAAATACATGGCGAGACTTTGAGTTATATAGATGTGTTCATTTTTAGTTTACTTCGTCCAGCTAGACGCGGCAGCGCATTCCAAAAGGGTACAGGCAATGCAGAACACAAGAGGACCACCCAACACAAAAGACGTAAACAGCAAAAACTGAACAGCGACAGCTAGTAACACCTCATGGGCAACGCAGCAATTGGAACTGTTGGAAAATTCAATGCAAACTACTGCAGCAGGGTTGCC